AAGAGAGCTTGTCCGCAGTGGTATCGCGGACATGGGCAAATGCCAACGCATAGCCAACCTTCCCCGTCCAACGCAGTGTAGGTGAGGTCTCTAGCTCGTAGACACGTGGCAAGAGGTTGAGCTAATGCGCAGCGTATCGGACCGCAAACGGCCACAGAAAATGGGGAGAAGCCACATGGATCATGGAGGTGCGAGCGACCTCCATGAGCAAGCCAATGCAGCGCTCAGCGATCCCATTTTGCTGTGGAGAAGCCGGAAGAGTGAATGACTGGGAGATGCCCCCCTCACGACAAAAGTCCTCAAAGAGACCGGAGGGAAATTCAACTCCACGGTCAGAGCGCAGACGGAGAACCGCGAGGTCCTGGTCGAACCGTGCGCTCAGCTGGCGACGAACAGTGCGGATCCAAGGGATCAAAACACTACGAACGTCGCCCTCGCTCCGCAAGGGAAACATTGTAGTGTAGCGCGTGTAGTCGTCGACGACCAATAGGAAGTAGCCCTCCCGGCCCGGGCCAGGGACGGGGGCAGGGCCCCACACGTCAATGTGCAGGGTCTGCAGAGGAGCCTCTATTGGAGGGAACGAGGAGGAGTGAGGAGCGGCGCACTGCCGCCCCTCGACACAGGGAGTGCACGGCGGCGCAAGCGACAGAGGGAGCGGGGCCAGGGACCTCGGAAGGCCCGAGACAAGAAGACGCGAGTGCCTGCCACGCAGACGCTGCAGGGAAGGGTGACCAAGACGGTGGTGCCAGAGGAGGGACGGGTGCGTGAGCGAGCGACACGAGCATGACGTAGCTACCTGACAGGACCCAGCAAAGTGTGCAGACTCAACGTGTAGTGTGTACAGGCCAGACCCAGGCCTCCGAGTGAACGGGGCGAGGAGGTCGCCTGTCACTGAGTGTGTACAGATCGCCACAAGCTCGCCCCCAGAAGTGGTGGTAGTGACCAACCGATCTTGGAGGACAGCCTGACTCACCTAGTTCGTAGCGAACGAGGGGAGGTGGAAACCTGTGAGGGAACCAGAGGGGACTACCAGACACGAAAGAACAGTGGTACCTCGTGCAACGACTGGGCCAGTGGAGGGGTCGGTCAGAGTGACTGGAATAGGTGTGGTGAGTGGTGTGACTGTGGTTCAATCGCGGAAGAAGCAACAAGACGCGCCTTAGTCTAGCGTAAAGGTGAGCAAAGCCTCCGCCGGAGCTGCACCTGTGCTAACAAACTCACAAGCACCTAGACTAGTAGCCTCTACACCACCGGGGACGCGTCGCTGGGAAACCCACTCCCGAAGCTGCTGCGGCAAGAGGGTCTCCTGCTGACTCTGCTACTGCTGTCCACCCCAAGAACCTCGGTCTCCACTAGCGGCACCACATGTATGAGGAGACACTCAGGCACTTACATGCGCCTCCTCAACCAGCTGCTACACCTCTCCCAACAACGGGCGGCGCTGTTGCAGTGGCCGAGCAGCAGGAGAGAGGGAGGAGTGGTGTCTAACTACAGCGTCGTACGAAGTCTGAGCCGACGTCACCTAACGAAAGTGGTCCCTCTGGTCGACCGGCAGGTGATGAAAGTTGTGCGACGTCGTCACGCTCCATCCACTGTGTGTAAGCAAGGCTGCCCGCCCGGTAGCGCCTCTGCACGTCCTCGCCAGCGTCAGTAGGAGGCTCAGTGGGAGTCGTGGGGGGTGGAAGGGACCCCGACGTGTGATCGAGCAGGGAGACGTTAGTGATAGTGAAAAGCCGGAGATACTTGCGCAGTCACATAAGCCAAAACCCTAACAGGAGAGGGCGGCCGTCTGCGTCAACCGCTAAGACTGGGAGAAAGGCCATGACCGGTAGGGGCGAAAGGGTGGCAGTGGCAGCTGTAGTGGCAGCGGGTGCCTATAGCAACAGCAGCGGCAGTTGGAGCGGCAGCTGTAGGGCAGCGGGGCGTGCAGGCGCGGCTAGCGAGGCAGCACACAGGCAGAGCAGCGCATGCAGGCACACGCAGCATGCAAGGTTGCGTATGGGCAGGACGGGCAACAGTGGTAGCAGGGCTGTAGCGACGACAGCAGTGCTGTAGCGGCAGCAACAAGGCTCTAGCATCAGCAGTAGAGCTGTGGCGGCAGCACCAAGGGTTGTAGCTGCAGTAGGAGGGCTATAGCAGCAGCAGCAGCAGCAAAGCTGTAACAGCAGCACCAAGGGCTGTAGCGGCGGTGGCAGGGGCTGTAGCGGCAGCAGCAGGGCTGTAGTAGCAGGGCTGTAGCAGCATCAGTAGAGCTGTAGCGGCAACACCAAGGGCTGTAGCGACGGCAAGAGGGCTGTAGTAGCAGCAGCAGGGCTGTAGCGGCAGCAGTAGAGCGTAGCAGCAGCACCAAGGGCTGTAACAGCAGCACCAAGGGCTGTAGTGGCGGCAGGAGGGCTGTAGCAGCAGCAGTAGAGCTGTAGCGGCAGCACCAAGGGCCGTAGCGGCGGCGGGAGGGCTGTAGCAGAGCTGGCTGTGGTTGTAACGGCGACAGCAGGGGCTGTAGCGGCAGCAGCATGGCTGTAGCGGCGACAACAGGAGCTGTAGCGGCCAAAGTTGGGGCTGTAACGCCACTAGCAGTGGCTGTAGCGGCGACAGCAGGGGCTGTAGCGGCAGCTGGCAAGGCGGCAGCAGTGCAGCAGCAAAGTAGCGGGCTGCATGCCGGTAGGACAGGGTAGGGCAGTGTGCGCGGCTCAGCGTGTAGGCAGCGCGGGCGGCCAGGTTGCAGCGCGGGCGGCAGCGCAAGGCAAGGCAGCACGCGGGGCGCGCGCGGGTCAGCAGACGGGGTGCGCGCGGGGCTGCAAATGGGGCGCGCGCGGGGGGATCAGACGGGGTGCGCGCGGGTTTGCAAATGGGGCGCGCGCGGGGCAGCAGACGGGGTGCGCGCGGGGCTGCAATTGGGGCGCGCGCGGGGCAGTGAACTGGGACGCGCTTGGGCAGCTAACTGGGCGTGCGCGGGGCAGCTAACGTGGCGCGCGCAGGGCAGCGAACGTTGCGCGCGTAGGCAGCTACCAAGGCGCGCGCTAGGCAGCGTACGGGGCGCGCGCGGGGCAGTGAACGGGGCGTTCGATTGGGGCGCGATTCGGGCTGAAAATCGACGCGCGCTAGGGTTGCGTAACGGGCAGCTACTAGACACGCACTAGGGGCGCTACGGGCAGCGGAAAAGGTAGTGGTAACGGTCGGTTCTTAAAAAAAGCTGTCCTAAAGGACCTAACCGCTCTTAATACCATGTCCGAATACTGGGAATAAATGCATTAGGTGAGGAAAGGGGGATACAAGAAAGATGCCCATAAAGTTGTTGTACCCCCTAAAGGCTAACCCCACTACAACCAAAATATATATGAAGATATATGTTTCGACAAAATGTACAAACAGAGCGGAAACAAATTGAAAATCACACCTAGAGATAGATGCGTTTAGCTCATAGTTTCGTCGTTGGGCAAAAACTCACACAAGCTATCTTCGTTAGCGTCGCTCATCGTCTTCACGCTGCACCGCACTGCACAACGCTGCTTCATCCGACTCCAAAACGCTGCATGGTTCCGCACGCTAGCTCTAGGCGTGAAGCATGTCTGTCATAGCAGACCAGGAAACCAACTCCTGCACCGGCAGAGCAGGACAGACGAAGTCAGAGCAGGAAAGAGCACATAGCAAGACAGGGGAGGTTAGAGCAGATCAGAGCAAGAAAGAGCAGGACATAGCAGGACAGAGCAGGACAAAGTAGGAAAGAGCAGGACATAGCAGGACAAAGGAGGACAGAGGAGGAAAGAGTAGGACATAGCAGGACAGAGTAGGACAGAGCAGGATAGAGCAGGAAACAGAAGGATCAGGAGAGAGCAGGCCAGAGAAGATTGTGAATCGCAGGGCATGCGATATGCTAGGAAGCTAAAATGTACAAACAAAGCGGAAACAAATCGGAAATCACAACTGGAGATAGATGCGTTTAGCTTAGAGTTTCGTCGTCGGGCAAAAACCCACCACAAGCGTCTCCGTTAGCGTCGTTTAGCGTCTTCACGCTGCACCACAGCACCACGCTGCACCGGACTACATGACGCTGCTTCATCCGACTCCAAAACGCTGCATGGATCCGCACGCCAGCTTTTGGCGTGAAGCATGGCTTTCACAGCAGACCAGGAAACCAACTCCTGCACAGGCAGAGTAGGACAGAGGAGGTCAGAGCAGGTCAGAGCAGGACATAGCATGACAGAGCGGGACAGGAAAAAAAAGAAAACAAGAACAGGACAGAGCAAAGGAGATCACAGATCGCAGCGCATGCGATACGCTAGGGGGCTAAAATGTTAAAAAAGGAACGCAAATGAAATGGAAATAGCAACTAGAGATAGATGCTTTTAACCTAAAATTCCAGTGCTGGATGAAAACTCACCACAAGCGTCGATGAAGACAGCTCAAACGTCGACGTGTTCGCGAGCTCCTTCGTTCAGCGCCATTTAGCTCCTTCGTTCAGCGTCATTTAGCTTCTTCGTTGAGCGTCACGCGCTCCGTCATTCTGCATCGCCATCTCCTCAGACACGCGTTAGCGAGCTCAGGAACTCCTCCATCGTCCGATTCACAAAGCGACGACGGGTGCTGATCAAGCGATGCGAGCTTCGCGTTTAGGGTCGTCGACGTTCGACATCAGATTCGGCATCAGATCCAGCAGATCCCGTCTTAACTTCGCTGCGGGCATCATCGGTACTACCCCATCGTTCGTCGCAAAGCCGCATCCGCTCCGTCGTAACGTTCATCAGGCGAGCTGAAAATGAATAAAGATTTGTGAGGATTCTTCAACAGAACTCTGATGATTGGTGCAAACACTGACAGTAACAAGCGAGCAACCGTCGTAACGCTTGAGCGTTGAATAATCTAACGTATTCTGTTTGGAAGGTTGAGAGATTTAAAGCAGCAGTATACATTTGACAGGGAGAGTGCCAAAAGCATATAAATGGTACATGGTGGGGGTGAAATTGTGGGGCACACTGCAAAACCCTGAACCCCGCTGTCAAATGTATACTGCCGCTGCGGGCGCGGGCGCGGGGAGGAGACCCCCTAGGCGGTCGGCCGCGGAGGGCGCGGGCGCGGGCGCGGTCGCGGGGAGGGGACCCCCCCTCCGGCCGGCCGCGGCGGGCGCAGGCGCGGGGAGGGTACCCCCCCCCCCCCCCCCCCCCCCCCCCGACCGCGGCGGCGGGCACGGGCGCGGGGAGGGGACCCCCTCGGCTGGCCGCGGCGGGCGCGGGCGCAGGGAGGGGACCCCCCCCGGCCGGCCGCGCGGGCGCGGGCGCAAGGAGGGGACCCCCCCGCCTCGTGAGTAGCTTAGGTCCCCTCCCCCCCCTCTCCTCTCCCCATCCCACCCCTTCCTCCCTCTTTCCCATCCCCTCTCACGCCCGACCCCTCTCACCCAGCCACCTCCGCTCTCCCATTTCACCTCTTTGAGGCCCAATACCCCCCTTGCCTCCCAGCAGCACGATATATTGTCTCAAACTCACATCTCCTTTCTCCTTATGAATGAGGTACTGTGAGTTACCAATGTCTTAAAACAAGGGTGTACATTTTTAGAGGTGTTTTTTGAGGGCATAGTTAAGGTACACCCATCGAGGTCTGCTGATTGGCTGGCGAAGTGTCCAAGGTTTGTAAATGCTGGTGCGAGATGTTGGCGACGCCAACCCATTTCGGACAAAAAGTAGGTGGGACTCTCTCCAATCATATCCGTTGTGAAGGATGGTTAGGCGGAACATCTAGCTGATAGCCCAAGCAACCAGACGAAAACAAAAACCACTCACGTCAATCTGAACAAGTGCAAACATGTAAGACCATTTCGCCACTAAAAAAGAGTCGACCGACTACGACTTATTCCACGGCATAGTGTCCGGTTACCTACAGACTGAGTAGAGCGTCACCTCATGCGACTCGGAACAGCACGTCTATTTCGATAAGCCCATTGGCAACCGGCGCGTCATTCTCCCAGCGATGCTGCGGAAACACCGTGTCACATTCTCCCATGACGTGATCCCCCGCTCGACCGTTTTAGGGCGTTGTCTCCTCACTTCCGCCCAAACGCAACATCGCTTAGGGATCTCCACATCACCGACGAAGAGAAAAGCACGATGAAATCGCGGCTACATCACCGCCTCGCAGCCACTTCGCCTCCTCCTCGTTACCACATCGCCGCCACATCGCATGCTCGCTGCGTCGCCGCCTCATCGCGGCCACATCGTGAGCACTCCGCGTGGCGGCCTCATTGCCGCCACATCGTCGCAGCGCCAGCACATCGCCGACTCGCCTCCTCAACGGAAGGCCGCCTCCATTTCGCCGCCTTCTGCATCGCCACCTCAATCGCACGTAATCTTCCACTGCCGCGAAGGCATGCGACTCATTTTTTTGCGAAACCCCTCTCCCCCCCCCCCCCCTCCCCGTGTCCGTCAGCTCCCTCCGTACCCCCTCCTGCCCTCAGTTTGGCGTGTCCTCATCCCGGGACATTACCTCCTGCCCTCTCCCGCAGGCCCAATCTCCTCCCTTCCCCCTATCCCATTGTCGTGTTCCCCCTCTTCCCTCTCTTGGCTATTCCCCATCCCCCCCAATCCCACTCCCCTGTCCTCCAACCTCCTACATTCCTTCGCTGCCGCTGAATCGCCACCTCGCTTCGATAGGTGCCTCCTCTTAGCCTCCCTAGCCGCCCCACCTCCCACATCGATGTCTCGAGCTCTTCTTTTGCACCTCTGCCTCGAAAGCATACTTTCCCATGCGCCGCCTCTACCCTCCCCTGCCTCCTTCCCCCTCACCCCGCCCTCCCTCCCCTCCCCGCCTTCTTCTCTCCCTATGCCCGTGTTCCCCACTCCCCCGCAGAGCGCGTCGCGCCTGTTTCTCATCCGGGCCGTGCTCTACCCCGCGGTGCAGCTGCACTTTCCTCGGTCTCAGGTGTGAGATACACTGTACCAGGTGGTCAAAACATGTGCATCAGGTGCTTTACCATGTTCCACAGTGGGTAATGTGCCTGAAACGTCCGCCCCTCAATCGTCCCCTCCTCCCCTCGCACATCCCCTCCTCCCCTCACACATCCCCTCCTCCCCTCTCATACCCTCTTCCCTCTCTCATCCGCTCCTCCCCTCCCTCATCCCGTCCTCCCCTCTCTCATCCCCTCCTTCCTTCTCTCAACCCCTCTTCCCATCTCTCCTCCCGCCTTCCCTCCCTCATCTGCTCCTCCCATCGCTCATCCCCTCCTTCCCTCTCTCATACCCTCTTTCCCTCTCTCATCCCATCCTCCCCTCCCTCAACCCCTCCTCCCCTCTCTCATCCCCTCCTCCCCTCCCTCATCCTCTTCCCCTCTCTCATACCCTCTTTCCCTCTTTCATCTGCTACTCCCCTCCCTCATTCCCTCCTCCCCTCTCTCATCCCCTCCTCCCCTCTCTCATCCCCTCCTCCCCACTTTGATCCCCTCCTTCCTTCTCTCATCCCCTCCTCCCATCGCTCCTCAACTCCTTCCAAATCTGATTCCGTCCTCCCCTCTCTCATCCCCTCCTCCCCTCACACATCCCCTCCTCCCCTCGCTCATACCCTCCTTCCCTATCTCATCCGCTCCTCCCCTCCCTCATCCCCTCTTCCCCTCTCTCATACCCTCCTTCCCTCTCTCATCCGCGCCTCCCCTCCCTCATCCCCTCCTCCCCTCTCTCATCCCCTCCTCCCCTCTCTCATCCCCTCCTCCCCTCTCTAATCCCCTCCTCCCCTCTGTTATCCCCCCCTCCCCTTTTCCATCTCTCATCCCCTCCTCCCCACTCTCATCACCTCCTTCCTTCTCTCATGCCTTCCTCCCCACTCGCGTCCCCTCCTTCCTTCTCTCATCCCCTCCTCCCATCGCTCCTCCACTCCTTCCATCTCTGATCCCGTCCTCCCCTCTCTCATCCCCTCCTCCCCTCTCTCATCCCCTCCTCCCCTCTCTCATCCCCTCCTCCCCTCTCTCATCCCGTCCTCCCCTCTCTCATCCTGATTCCCCTCTCTCATCCCGTCCTCCCCTCTCTAATCCCTTCCTCCCCGGTCCCATCCCCTCCTCCCCTCTCTCATCCCCTCCTCCCCTCGCTCATCCCCTCCTCCCCTCTCTCATCCCCTCCTCCCCTCTCTCATCCCTTGCTTCCCTCGGACCCCCATGTTCCCCCTTCCTTCCCTAATTTCCCCCCTCCAACCCTATCATTGCCTATCCTCCAGAGTACCTCGAATTTCCCTTCACCCTACCAGCTGGATTTTCCTTCACCCTGCCAGCTAGGCGAGGTAACTCTCATGGCTCAAGAGGGTCTCCTTACAACACCCATAGAGAAAGGTTGTCGGAATAGCTAGTTTACCGGCAACGTGTTGTAGAGCAGATTCGCCAACTCCACTTCACCAAGCCCACCAGAGCCACCCCTCGCTTCCTACAGACATCGTGGAAAAGGGAAATTGCGATTTTGAGGGTCCAAAGGTTTTTCTGCAAAACGTGTGCGGTTTTCTTGCGCGAAGTATACAGAAAACGACGACCCTAAAAAGCAACTAATAACCGGATACATGTTTCCTGACCGAAATAGTCACGACTCTAACCGATTGTCATGTTGAGTGATGCTACCATTCGCATTCACGTCTGTCTGCCTCCCATCATATGTTCGTGCGTTGCATGCGTGTTGTGAGTGTGTGCAAGAATTTGTGTTTTGTGCGGTTTGGTTTTTCTGAGTGTGTGCGAATGTTATTTGGCTTGAGCAGATATCTGAAGTGACTCCTCTGCTCAAGAGCTTTCCGACGAACCAAGTATCGCTTCAATCGGAGCACGAACAAGAAAGTTACGAACGTTGGAGTTCGTATGCTTTTGATATTTGGTTGTGGTGACTATGGGAAGTTGTGGGGTTGACTCAATATGGGGTATAGACTTTTGGGGGTTGGGAAATTCGTCGTTTCTACTGTAGTTGCTGCCAAATGGTTGGGAGAAACCAAACCAGGTTGGCAAGTGTGGCCAAGTTGGGTTGAGGTGGATTGTGGAGGTTGGGATAGTGACAAAGGTCAAAGTTGGGTTGCCTATGGGGAAGGGAATTGTATGGCATGGGGTTTCCTTTGGTTGGGGACTCTCTTGGGACCTTCCCTCTCGTCCTCCTCATCCCTTCCACCTGGTTTAGTGCTACTCTAATTCTCTTGTGTGAACTTTGTGATTGAGTGAAGTTCTTATGGCAGCATACCCCCCTGTGCGCCGAAATTGATAAGTCGAGATTTACTTCACCTCTTGATACGTTTCAACTTGGGAATTGTAGCCACGGAGTAGGGCTACAACATATCTGAGTTTGGTGAAGTTTTGACAGTGCACTTTTCGTCGACGGCGTTTCTTGTGAGCGCAACTATTCTGTCCAGAAATAGGGACCAACGATTTTGAGAAATTTAGGCACCTAATCTTCATAGACTCCGTCCTTAGTCTCTAACATGTCATACCTTTTCTTGCAGGCTTTCTCAAGATTCATCTGTTGCGACTAAGGCTGACGGTTTTTGCACCTAAATATATTAGGCTGACCGTTTTCGGGTCGACAGATGGCAACCTTCTCGCGGTGGGCATGCACGTAAGTAGCGAGGGGAAGTTTTCGGTTTTAGACATGTATTTTGTGTTTCGGGTTCCTCGTCATACTGATTTACTGTTTCCTACGTTTGCAACTTCCTTTCTCTATGTGGTGCAAAGTCAGCGGGATGCGTTACAAGAAGTTTGTATTTGCATGTTTTGCAGGGCTGCCTTGTTAACGCAATCCTATCGTCAACCAGAATCGCAAAATGCTTATTTTCACCATTGAGCATAGTCCATTATTATTAACCCTAATGGTGAATGGTAGAATGGCTGCATTGTTATGCTTGTTAACAAATGTTTTTTTTTTCGTTGTTTCTACATGTTACATCCATATTCTTATTAGTAGAGTTGTCGAATGCCATAGGCCTCTGCTCCCGTTTCTCTCCTCTGCCTCTGAAGCCATGGCCGTTTGTCCTCCTCCTCGTTCTTGCTTCCCCGATTTCGCCCTCCCTTGCTCTCTCTTTGCCTTCCCCTCTTTCTGTCTCCTCCCTTTTCGTGCTGTCCTGCTCAGGCTCTTGCGCCGTGTGCAGATTCTCGAGGGCTGGTGGCATGATCTTCTTCAGGTACCTCGCCCGGCAGTCTGCCAGTGCTGCCCACTTCTCAGGGCTCCCCGCTCTCACGATTCCAGTCAGCACCTTTGGTGCATTCACAGGCAGCATGGGCTCCTTCCCGTACAGGAGGTAGTACGGCGAGTAGTCTCTGAGCGCTGCCTGCTTGCTGAACCTGTACCCTGCCGCGACCCAGTGTAGCTCTTGATCCCAATCTCTCTTATGCTCTTCCCCGTAGGCCCGCAGCCCCTTCTTGATCGTCTGCACCATGCGCTCGGTCAGCCCGTCCGCCTGCCGGTGATACCTCGAGGTTCGGCGGTGCGTGATTCCCACTCGCTTCAACAGCTGATCGAACGCTCCCCGGAATTCTGTTCCCTGATCCGTGAGCACTTTTCCGCACGCTCCGAAATGCGTCAGCACCTGATCAGTGAACGCCTCTGCGATCAGCTCGGCGCTCTTGTTGCTGAGCGCTCGCACCTCCACCCATTTGGATACGTGCTCGATCATCACTAGCACGTATCGCTTGTTTTTGCGACTCAGCGGCAGTTCCCCTGCCAGATCCAGTGACCACCGGTACCCCAGCTCGCGGATAGGGAGTGACTGCAACTCCTGTTGCTCCCTCTCCAGCGTGGCCTTGTTTCGGCTGCATAGCTCGCACTCGGCCACTGTCTTTTTGACGTCTCTCTGTAGGCCCGCCCACCACCAGCCGGTGGTCAGCAGCTGCGCGGTCTTCACGTGGTCGTAGTGCCCCAACTGGGCATGCACTTTCTCTATGAGTGCTTTCCGGAGCTCTGGCGCGGGCACCAACTTCCAGCCGTCCTTGGACTCCACCTGCAACTGCTGCTGGTACCATCTGTAGTGCCTGTCCCGCGCCCTTGCTCTCTCCCCCACGTCCTCCTCCGCTTCGATCTCTCCCTTCACCCACCGCAGCACGTCTGCGTCCTCCCAAACATCTTTGGGCCCCTTTCCTCTGTGCCTGCTCTCTTCTGACTCCCGCATTCCGCTGGCCAGCGCCACGAGGCATGCTGCTGGCGAGCCGCCTTCCTGTGGGGGCGGGTTCCTCGACAGCCCATCCACGTGTTGTAGGGTCTTTCCCGGGCGATGTTGTATCTTAACCTCATACTCCTGTAGCGTCATCGCCCACCTCGCTTTCCTTCCTGTCAATGTCTGGTTCGTCATCAGCCACGTTAGTGGCTGATGGTTGGTCACCAAGGTGAACGGGATCCCCTGCAGATAGACCCGGAAATGTTCCACGGCCCACACCGCCGCTAGCCCTTCGCCTTCGTATGAGCTGTAGTTTGCCTCGGTGGGGCTGCAGCTCCTGCTGGCGAACGCCACCACTCTTTCTCCCCGCTCTGTCTCCTGACACAGCACTGCCCCCATGCCTAGGCTGCTCCAGTCGGTGTAGAGCACGAATGGCTTGTTCCGCTCTGGGAGCATCAGCACCGGGCCCGTCTTCACTGCCCCCAGCAGGTCTTTTAGTGCAGCATCTTCCTCCTTTCCCCACTTCCACGCGGTGCTCTCCTTCAGGAGCTGATTCAGCACGCTGGCTCGCTTGCTGAAGTTGGGCACAAATTTCCGGTAGTAGTTTAGGAACCCCAGAACTGCCCTCAGCCTGCTCCGGTCTGTCGGCACCGCCACTTTGTCCAGGACCGCCACCTTCGCCTCTTGGACCGAAAGGGCTCCGTCCGACACTTCGAACCCCAGGTATTTCACTGTACTCATTCCAAACTTGCATTTAGCCGGGTGGCATGTCAGGCCCGCGTTCATGATTGCCCCCAAGACCCTCTCGACGTCTGCCACGTGTGACTCTGGGTCCTTGCTGAAGATGATCACGTCGTCAATGTAGCAGGCAGCGCAGTCTATTTCTCTCAGCACCGTGTCCATCACTTGCTGGAAGAAGGCTGAGGAGTTGCGCATCCCGAACGGCATTCCGTTCCATTCCCAGAGTCCGTCCACACCGTGGAATGCCGTTTTGGCGCGGTCCTCTTCCCTGATCTGAATCTGGTTGAAGCCCTGCCTCAGGTCCAGGGTGGTGAACACCATCGCTCCCACCAGCTTGTCGAATATATCCTCCGGAGTGGGCATCGGGTACCTGTTGGCTTTGGTTATCTTGTTCAGGTCGCGATGGTCTCCGCACATGCGCCTGGACAGAACCTCTCCCGCCGCATCTTTGCGTGCGGCAATCACCGTCGCTGTTGCGTACTCGGACGTGGATCTTCGTATCAGCCCCGCCTCGAACAGCTCCTTGCACTTCTCCTTGCACAGCTCCTCGTCTGCCCTGGACATCCTCCGCTTCCGTTGGAAGGTCGGCGTATCTGATGTGAGCTCAATCTTCATCTCTCCTATCTTGCTCTTCCCCAGTTCCTTCAGTGTGTAGGCGAAGGCTCTCCTGTGCCGCTTCAGCATCTCCCGCATGCGTTCTGCCTGCTCTGCTGTCAATCCCACCCCGATGGTCCACGCCTCTTCCTCTTGCCCGGGTCCTGCAGCAACTTGCTCTGCAGGGACCTCTCGTGTTGGCGCTTCCAGCACCATATAAGACTTCGCGCAGCCCCGCTTAGCCAGTCGGCTGTGCACCGCCTCGCTGTTCTCCCCTGGGGGCCACCCCTTTCTCCTGATGGCTTCCTCGCTTTCCAGCAGCGCCTCGAGCTCGCGTTTCTCCGCCTTGAGTTGTAGTTGTGTTTCGCTGTTCTCCTCGCCTCCTTCCGCCCACCACTCCTTCTCCTCCACCCTTGTGTCCATGTCCCACAGGAGCAGCTGTACTTCAATCGTGTGCAGCAGCCACTCCATGGCTTGGACATCCATTTCTTGCCCCAGGGCTTGCTGCCGCTCCCATTCTCTGACACCTGGCGCTGCTGTCGCCCCCGGCAGGAAGCCCATGGCCAGTTTTCGTTCCAGCGCAGTCGGCTGCCCCCATTCCCTCGTCCTCAGGTCCTTGACCATTCCTGGTCCTAGTACTCCCCCTTTCATTTGGAATGCGTGGGATCCGTAATGCGCCACTAGGGTCGGCCATGCCTGCCTCGGCTCTCCGGGTTCGTTACAGGGGTACTGTGCTGGGTGGTCAGGGTAAAGCACCGGTGCCTCCGTGCGGTTTGGCTCCAGTATATCTCTGACTAGCCGCCCTGTCGGCCTCTCCAAGCGGGACAACTCCA